ACTTTTTATTTTTTTAAATTAATCATATTTTTTTCTTCGAAGATAATGATAAAACAGTTTTTGTTGAACTTTTGTGATGCACAAAAGTATTTCAAATTTATGATTTCAGTTTAATAGCTGTTTAGTAAACATGTTTAATTTATATCAATGACGATAGGTATTAATACTTTCGGTTCCAAATATCTCGAGAACCATTACTCGTAGCGATTTTTACCTTAATAGTTTTATACAGGTATTGAGAAAAATGTATTACTATTCAAACCAGATAAAAATATTTAGGTGGCGTCTTCTACAAGTAGACATATTGACATCTAAATCAAATTTCTCATGTCAAAAAACTTCCGGACAACAATTTTCATCCAAATATTGACGTTTCCTCAGATATTATTTAAAAAAATCGAAATAAAAATGAAATTTCTACACCCTGTATCTTCTAAACTAAGTATTTTAAGACATACATTTATACGAACTTTTGACTGATTTTTAACTGCAGGATATGCCGCCAAAGTTTCCAGAATACAGTTCGGACCACCCTGTATATTAGTAATAAATTATAGTATTTGAATTTGTATTATTCTATATTTTTTATATCCAGACTGTTGGATCTATTGTAGATTGTATGGGAAAGGGTTGGTTAGGTTAGCACAAAAGTCACTTTCTGAGACTGTTTTACAGAGGTTAGTTTCAGGGCTTTGACAAAACCTAGTATCTGAGACGGTTTTTTCGCCATCTCCGATATCAGTCGTACCAAAATTTATGGCACAATTGGTTGTCGTTTCAGCGCACTCAGCTTTGAGTGTTTTTTTGTGTTTGCCCCATTTGCCATTGTTTGTTAGCTTCAATCTACTGTGGTGTTCGTTGAGGAGACAGAGTTCTGTTAAAAGCCCCGTGACAATCCGAAGATTGTTCTTACTTAAATCAAGGAAAATCTTTGATTTTTCTCGGTCGTAAGTAGTGATGTTGATTTTCGTTACTTTTGACTACTCGTTACTAATTGTTACTCGAGTATTCAGTAATCATTTCAAATATTCGTTACCTACTTTGATTACTATGATTAGTTTTTTCTGATTTTGGTACTGCTGTCAATTTTGTCAACTGCTGTCAACGTTTGTGTCTAATTTCACCTGCTTAAGGGACATATTTTGAAAAATAGATTCTTAGTACCCACGTTTTTCATTTTACGTTACCTAAGGAACTTCTACGCCAAATTTTATACTTTTAAAACCTATTTTAACAAATTTTTCAGGCAAATTTCACCCTCTAAAGAGGTGATTTTCCAAAAAGTCGCACTCAAGTACTCATTGTCGCCACTTAAGAAACCTCTATACAAAATACCATACCCCTAGGACTAATTATAAAGAAATATATACAAAATTTCACCACCAGTTTTACCCCCTTATTTATGTGTGAAATTCCAGAAATCGTTCCTCAGTGCTCAATTATGTCACCCAAGAAACCTCTGTGCAAAATACTTTTAGAAACGATTTTAACAAATTTTTGTACAAACTTTCACCCCTAACTTTACCCTCGTAGGGGATAAATTTCCAAAAATCGAGTATCCACTTTCGTCACTTAAGAATCTCTGCGCAAAATTTTATACTCCTACGACAAATTAAAAAAAAATCTACAAACTTCCATCCCTAGTTTTGGTAGTTTCATCCCCTTAAAGGTTGAATTTCCGAAAATAGCTGCTTAGTGTCCAATTACGCCGCATAAGAGAATTCTATGAAAATATAATAATAATAATGCACAGCCGAAACTGCTGGACATAGAAACACGAAATTTGGCAAATGCGTTCCTTAAGTCATGTATGTGAGCACAAAAAGGGGATTTTTGGAAATTCGGCCGCTAAGGGGTTGAAATTAGGAGGTACTTGCCAAATACTCTAGATACTATTATACGACCATTGTGTTTTTATAGAATTCGCATTTGATAACACTTTTACAATGCAACACTATACATATTACGTATAAGTACGACCCATGATAAATGCTAAATACTATATAATAGTAGATAATCAAAGTAATCAAAATAACGATATGGTTTTAAATTTGGTACTCGTTACTTTGGGCATCGATGAGTAACGAGCACTCGAGTAACGAGTAAGAGACTTTTTCAACGTCTCTAGTCGTAAGTCCCGAGAAATTTCTTTGAGTGTCTTAGGCTGTTGGAGGATTTTCATTCCAGGTTACGGATGAAGTCTTCCAGCTTCATGTGCTCGGCTGTATCACTTGGGAAGCAGAACGGTTCTGGTCCAGTTAATGGAGTGATCACTCCTTTTGTAGCTAGATCGTTTGCTTTATTATCTCTTAATGGCCTGGCACCCACAATGGCAGCACTATATTTTTTTTTTTGAGAAGACATAAGATTTTATATTATTTTACTCTTTTAACATTCTATAAATTTTTATTTAAAAAGAAAACATATTGTTCACGATCACAATGTTATTAGAAAATAAAACCGATCAAGTATAAAAACGCAAACAAGAAAACAGAAAGATATTTCTATTTTATCAACCTTATAAAGTTCAAGTTCTCCATCGAACTAGTATTTTTCTGTTGTTCGTTCGATCTACAGTTATTTTACCGTTTCCTGTGCTTTTCAGCTCAAGCGTTTTATTTCTTAGGATTAACATGAAACGTGTATTGTATTCGGAAAGTTTAAAGACGCCCAACTAGAGATTAGTTTGAAATTCTTTCGGTAAAAAGACTTTTCAGTTAATTCAATCATTTTAGTTTTGTAAATGTCGACAAAAATATCTTAAGTAAGTAGCATTGGCCAACAAATTTTCATTTTTTTTTACTTAAACTTTATAGACAACATCTTCCAACAAAATTGAAAAATCACCTGTAGTTGAAAAGAACCTACAAGCGCCACAAAAACTACTACAAAGATTACTACTGTATGGGAAATGTAGATATTGTATCCACCTTTCTTGAGTTATTTTATCAACTCATGATAGAGTCTCAGGGCTTTGGCAAAAGGCAGTACCTGAAACGGTTTTATAGAAGTTAGTTCTCCATCTCCGATATCAGTCGTACCAAAGCTTATGTTGTTCTTACTTAAATCGAGGAAAATCTTCGATTTTTCTGAAAATTTTATTTTTTTTAGTATTTTTTTCTTCTTTTAAGTATCTTAGACCGTTGAATGATTCCCAATCCAGGTTACTGATGGAGTCTTCCAGGTTTTGGAATTCTGCTTTAAGTTGGTTTCCACTTGGGAAGGATATGCTTCAATTCCAGTTAGTGGAGTGTTCGCTCCTTTTCTAGATTGATCGTTTGCTTTTTCATTATCTTCTAATTCCTTGGTGGGGTGGCACCCAGAGTTCAGCTTCTGTAGATATTTTTTGACTAACTTCGAATTGATGATTACTGAGTTGGTCGCTCTTAAGGCTGCTTTATTATCAACAGAAACTACTTTGTAAATACTTAAAAAATAAATATTTTATATAATTCTTTAACGATTCAGTATTTTAAAGTTTCTCCATAAGTGGTTACCATTTTTTTTAATTACTATGCAGCTATTTATTTTTATCTTATTCTCTTTTACTTGTTATTTTACTAGTGGAACTATTGAGTTGTTTTAAAATTGTTTTCTTGCACAGGTCGGTTTTGGTTTTGGTCTTACTTTTTGCGCAAGACCTAAACCAAGATCGCAAGACCAAGATCAGCATCGCTCATCACTAATGAGCTGAAATCTATGCTAATATATAAAATCCTTAAGTGACTGACATACTGATTAATCACGATCCTACTCAAACCACTCAACGTAAGAAGCTCAATTTTGGCATACAGATTGATTCTAGGATGTAGAGGTTCGATAAGACTGGATTTTTCGAAATTCCAGTTCTAAGGGGGTGTAACCACCCCTCAAATATTGCAAAATTTTTTATTTAAAAAACGGTCAAGTTTCCGAAAAAACGCTTAAACCCGTATATTTTATTTTGTTTTTTACATATTTTAAGATTTTTTAAAAATGTATACAGGGTGTTTCGAAAAATCTGGTCATTGATTAATCACGATCCTTTGCGCTTGACGTAAAAAGCTGATTTTTGGAAAACAGATTGACTTTAGGGTGTAGAGGTTCGATAAGAAGGGATTTTTCGAAACTCGAATTCTAAGAGGGTGAAACTATCCCTTAATAAAATATTTTTTATTTAAAAACCGGTGAGTTTTTCGGAAAAACTTTTAAACACGTATATTTTATTTTGTTATTTTACATATTTTCAGATTTTTTATAAATTTATACAGGGTGTTTCATAAAATATGACCATTGAGTAATCACGATTCTGCTTGAACTGCTTGACGTTTAAAGCTGTTTTTCGGTAAACGGATTGACTGTGGGGTGTAGAGGTTCAATAAGGAGAGGTTTCTCGAATATCAAATTCTAAGAGGGTGAAAACGCCCCTCGAATATTACAGTATTTGTTATTTAAAAAACGGTTAGTCTTTCGGGAAAACGCCTGGACAAGCATAATTTATTTGGTTAAGAACATTTTGGAATGATTGCCAGAACTGGTCAGATGGTTAAGAACATTTGGGAATGATGACATTTAGTGTTCCAAAAAGTTGGGTAATTTCTTAACCACGATTCTGCTTAAACTGCTTGACGTAAAAAGCTTATTTTTGGCAAACGGATTTTTCGAAAGTCAAATTTCAATGAGATGAAACTACCCCTCAAATATTAACAAGTTATATAATAATATCGCCATATTGTTTTTTCTCATGCTGAATAAATGTGAGAAAATGTTATCCAGTTTATGTTAATGGAAATTCTTGCTTTGCTTTATCATCACCACAAATGATTAATTCGACGCGAACGAAGTCGCTGGTACACGCTAGTAACCGTATAAAATTTAACGGTCTTAGTCAATCTTTAAATATTATTATTATAAATTGTTAACACGTAACCATTTTATGAAGAAAAAAACATGTTATTAATTATAAAACTAGTTTATATGTTGCTACAACTTAATATTTTAAAATATTTTATTTGTTCTAGGGTTTATGTGTGGCCATTCTCTTTTGTTTCTGCAATGGAGAGGTGAGTAGAAATAGTTTAATTACATAATTATTATGAGAAATATCAACTAATGATAGGGATATAAAACAAATACTGACACTCCTTCCTTTATATTTTTTGAAAACTTGGTATTTTATGTGTGCTTTTCATAATGAAATAGAAGGGAAAAAGTAGGACAACTAGAAAGCAAAAACTTATAAAGAAAATGTGTTTTATTTAAAAGTTTAGGTAAAGAAGCAAAATAAAACACTAATTCGCTACAATATACCAAAACACTTTACCTTTAAACATTGGACGCGTGTTTCGCTAACCATGTTAGCATCATTAGCAGATGATTAGAACTCCGTTTTAATCATCTGCCGATGATGCTGAGCGAAAAAGGCGTTCAGTGTTTAAAAGTAAAGTGTTTTGCTGTTTTGTAGTGAATTAGTGTTTTATTTTGCTGTTGTAACCCCAAAAGTTCCAACTCCCAAAAATAATTAAGTAAATATAGCGTCAAAAATACACTCACCGACAAAAAAAAACCTTTCAAAAAGATAGTCTTCGTCGGATTGTTCTCTCACTGACTAGAGTTCTACGTACGGCTTGTAGCAGATGTGGATTCTGAAACGCTATAATTCTACGATTTCGTAAAGTATTCAGGACAATAAAGCGATGCCGTCAATCCGTCAAATGCATTTGTCTTCCGTTTTCTTCGGGAATCCGCTCGCCTGGTGAAATTTCCCGTTTCCATATACTGATTCCAGACATCCTGGACTGTTGTTCGAGGTATACCCAGGGTATCGGACACAAAACGTTGACTTCGACCATTCTCAATTAAAGCCACAATTCGAGCAACATCCGCCACAGATAATGGCATTTTTTAATTTCACAATCATTGCCTTGATTATTTATACATAAAACTTTCTGCCTGCAAAGCATTTTTCGAGACGTTCATTTTAAAGCAGCGTAGGAAACTCACCCTGTATGTAGAGATAAAATTACTCTCAATAAATTTGAAAACATCTAAAGCGTGTTTATTAAAATAAACTCACCGGCAAAAAAAACGGCCACTAAAAACTAGACCCAATTTCAAAGTTGGATTTCTCAACGAACCACTCATTAGATTTTGATGATTTTTTTTTTAAATTATAAATTAATTCCTTTTAACGGATGCTACGTCAGAAATTATGTGTCGCGTTTTATTCCGAATTTATTTTGAGCATATACAGGGCACAACAATAAGACGAAGTTTTAAGTTTTTTGCCCGAACTTTGTAACACCCTGTAGGGTGCAGCAGCGGTAGTAGCTATTGCTAAATTAAATCACATTGTAGCCTCATCTTTTGTGAGCATTTTGTTTTTTTTTAATCACCACATTATCTCTTTTTGTATTGGAGATATTATGCTGTTTTCAAACGAACGTATCAGAAAAATGCTTCGCAGGCAGAAACTTTTATGTGTAAATAATCAAGGCGACGCGACATAGGCGAAATCGGATTTATGAGTATTTGCAATATGACAAAAACGGTTGTCAAATTAAAAAATGCCATCTGTAACGGATGTTGCTCGTATAATACGAGGCATGTTTTTTAAGTAGAAAGTACCGTTTTGGAATTAAAAAAAAAAAACGTGCAAAGATATCGCAATAATTTTATTTTTACATGAAAGCCTGTACCTTAATCTACTTTTTCTACATAATTTCCGTGAATATTGAGGCACTTGTCATAACGTGGCACCAGTTTTTCAATACCCTCCTCATAAAATTCTGCCGCCTGACTGGTTAACCACTGTATCACAACTTTTTTGACTTCGTTATCGTCTTGAAGACGCTGACCGCCCAGGTGTTTCTTCAAGTGCAGGAATAAATGGTAGTCACTGGGCGCCAGATCAGGGCTGTATGGAGGATGATCTAGAGTTTCCCATTTAAAAGATTTGATGAGATCTTTGGTCCAATTTGCCACATGTGGACGGGCATTGTCATGCAGCAAAACAATACCCTTACTCAACTTGCCACGTCTTTTGTTTTGGATTGCACGGCGCAGATTGTTCAATGTCTCACAATAAGATGCTGCATACATACTTGATTGTCTCATTACGAGGCAGAAACTCCACTAGCAATACTCCTTTTCTGTCCCAAAAAACTGTGCACATGATTTTCCGGGCAGAAATTGTTTGCTTAAACTTCACTGTTTTGGGTGATGATGAATGTCGCCATTCCATTCCATTGTCTAAAAAATCTTCACCTTCATTGTGGTACTGCTCAAGGAAAGTCAATGCACTGCCTAAACGTTGGGTTTTGTGCAAATCCGTCAACATTTTCGGAACCCAACGTGAACACAATTTCCGGTAATTCTCGGTCACAATGCGATACAAAACACTACGAGAACATTGAGGAAAGTACAATGATGAAATTGTAAAGCGTCTGTTTTCTTTCACCTTTTCGTCCACTTTCTGCACCAAATCTTCATTAACGACCGAAGGACGCCCACTCCGTTCTTCATCATGCACATTTGTGCGGCCATCTTTAAATGCTCTCACCCATTTCCTTACCATTCCATCACTCATAATGTTTTGTCCGTAAACTTCACAGATCTCACGATGAATATCGATCGGTTATACGCCTTTAGCACTAAGAAATCGTATGACAGCCCGTACTTCACAATCGGCGGGGCTCACGATTGTCGGAGGCATCTTAAACACTCAATAAACAACGTATACAATGAAGAATCAGACTGTACTGGCGTCTGTGCATAGTCAAGAGATGTAGGTAACCAGCGCGCATGCGCGGAACGCCGACCGTAGCGCTGCGGCGGCGGAATCGCAAAACGGTGCTTACTTAAAAAACATGCCTCGTAGCTTTAATTGAGGATGGCCGAAGTCAACGTTATGTCTCCAATACCCTGGGTATATTTCGAACAACAGTTCAGGATGCCTGGAATCGGTATATGGAAACGGGAAATTTCACCAGGCGAGTAGACACTAGATATTAGTCCCTTAAAGTTTCTTGACCTTTTTTTTTTAATTTTCATGTTTTAGTTAGTTTTCAGGTTTTCAGTTCTTACCTACGTTCTGATGTTTGACTTGTTTTTAAAGATTTTTTCCAGGCGTTTGATTTAAAGCAGCGTATCTCTAATACAAACAGAGATAATGTCGTGATTAAAAAAACAAAATGCTGACAGAAGATGAGGCTACAATGTATTTGATTTAGCAATAGCTACTACAGCTGCTGCAGCCTACAGCGTGTTACAAAGTTAGGGCAAAAAACTTTGTCTTATTGTTGTGCCCTGTAAGTATATGCTCAAAATAAATTCGGAATAAAAATTTCTGACGTAGCATCCGTTAAGAAGGAATTAATTTACAATTTAAACTAGGGGGTACTAGTTTTTAGTAACCGGTTTTTTTTGTCGGTGAGTATATATATATATATATATATATATATATATATATATATATATATATATATATATATATATATATATATATATATATATATATATATATATATATATATATATATATATATATATATATATATATATATATATATATATATATATATATATATATATATATATATATATCCCCATCTCCCCATCTCTTTACCATCTTTTGACGGGAGATGCACTAATATCTCACCGACACTTTACGACATCGTCTGAAGATATAGAAGAAGTTTTGCTTGCCGTATCGGTGAGAACCAGCCCCTAGACAGCCCACCTGATGAAGGGTAGGCCCAGAAACCGGTTGTGGGAGTGGAGCTTGGTTCCCCCCTTTACGACAAGCAAAACAATTTTCTTTACTTTTTTTTTAATTTTCTCTACTTTCGATTTTCGAAATTAGAAAAAATACACAGCTAAAAGGCAAGAAAATATTATTTATTAATATACACTAAAGCTGTAAAATTTTGTTCATTTTCATATATTTGAGGCGGGCCGAAAAACGCTCTTTACCATCTTTGACGGGAGATGCACTAATATCTCACCGACACTTTACGACACATCGTCTGTAGATATGAAGAAGCTGCTTGCTTGCCGTATCGGTGAGAACCAGCCCCTGGACAGCCCACCTGATGAAGGGTAGGCCCAGAAACCGGTTGTGGGAGTGGAGCTTGGTTCCCCCTTTACGACAAACAAAACAATTCTTTACTTTTTTTTTTTAATTTTTTCTCTACTTTCGATTTTTCGAAATTAGAAAAAAAATACACAACTAAAGGCAAGAAAATATTATTTATTAATATACACTAAAGCTGTAAGAATTTTGTTCATTTCATATATTTGAGCGGGCCGAAAAACGCTCTTTACCATCTTTTGACGGGAGAGGCACTAATATCTCACCGACACTTTACGACATCGTCTGTTGATATAGAAGAAGTTTTGCTTGCCGTATCGGTGAGAACCAGCCCCTGGACGGCCCACCTGATGAAGGGTAGGCCCAGAAACCAGTTGTGGGAGTGGAGCTTGGTTCCCCCCTTTACGACAAGCAAAACAATTTTCTTTTTACTTTTTATTTTTTTTTAATTTTTTCTCTACTTTCGATTTTTCGAAATTAGAAAAAATACACAGCTAAAGGCAAGAAAATATTATTTATTAATATACACTAGCTGATATTTATTAATATACACTAAAGCTGTAAGAATTTTGTTCATTTCATATATTTGAGCGGGCCGAAAAACGCTCTTTACCATCTTTTGACAGGAGATGCACTAATATCTCACCGACACTTTACGACATCGTCTGTTGATATAGAAGAAGTTTTGCTTGCCGTATCGGTGAGAACCAGCCCCTGGACAGCCCACCTAATGAAGGGTAGGCCCAGAAACCAGTTGTGGGAGTGGAGCTTGGTTCCCCCCTTTACGACAAGCAAAACAATTTTCTTTTTACTTTTTATTTTTTTTTAATTTTTTCACTACTTTCGATTTTTCGAAATTAGAAAAAATACACAGCTAAAGGCAAGAAAATATTATTTATTAATATACACTAGCTGTAAGAATTTTGTTCATTTCATATATATATATATATATATATATATATATATATATAT